TACACGGTGGTTTTGTTTCTTGTGACGAGGACCTTCCCGCGTTGCTCTCACGTCCACGCTGCCGGTCACGGCCCAGGAAGCAGGATCTGCACTTCTTTTGTCTGCTGTGTCCCTACATGTCGTATATTTTATTGTTACGGAAATGGTGTTTTTAAATTTGTTTCTTCCTGTTCATTGCTGGTACACAGAGATACAGTGGACTTTCCCGTATTGAATTTGTCTCCTGCAACCTTGCAAATAAACTCCCTTGTGCCATGTGGTCGGTCACTCTTCTGTAGGTTTTTTTATTTTATTTTTTTCATTTTCTTGCTTTCTGCACTGGCCGTAGCCTCCAGCGCAGTACCGCACAGGAGTGGGTATTGGACCTGTTTGGTAGGTTCTGGTTTTCACTGACTTTTCCTCTAGTCGGATGACATGTCAGCCTTTCTAAAGCTTGGGAGGGCACAGGTCCACGGGGCGGTGTTGCCATCACCTGGGGTCCGGTCGGGCGTGGAACTCGGCTGTCCCAGAGCCCGTCCGGTGACTGCGACAGGCAGGGGCAGTGCGTGTTTGGGGACCCAGTCGCCTCTGACCCTAACATGGAGACCCTGTGCCCCACACCCCACACCCCGCCCTCCTCTGCGGCACCTCCCTTTATCCTTCTGGCGCGGCATCCGCCTCCCCTGGGAGACAGGCCGGCCGGCCTCCTCGTGTCCGTCACGACCTCGGTTCCGCTGCTCGCTCACACGGTGAGGTGGCTCACACGGTGAGGTGACTCGTGTGGCGCGCTGCCCAGCAGGGTCCCGCCTGGGGCGCCCGTCGCGGTCTCCCTAAGCGAGAAGCCCATCCTGTTCTGCTCGCCCCTTCGGCTTCCGGGGAAGGACAGGCAGACCCCCCGCCTCCAGCCGCCGCTGTGGGGATCTGTAACCCCTGTCGAGTCAGTCGGGAATTTTCTCAGAAAATTACTCTCTGACCCAGGTTTTCCGGTGAGTGCGGTTCTTCCAGTCCCTCGATCCGAACGTCCTCACGGTTTTTTCCAAACTGTGCTCTTTCGGTCTCTGCGTCGACCTCCGCCCGCGTCCCTCTCCCCTCCTGCCTGTCTCGGGCGTGTTTCACCCCTTCCCTCGCCTGGGTCAGTGAGTCTCCGCTCGTCGCTCTTGATTCTCCAGCGTTTCAGCACAGGTTCTGGGGCGGCTCGGGCCTCGGGTCCATGTTTACACTGTTCTTTTCGACATGCTGTCACGTTAGTGTCAGTGTCCTTTTGAGCCCTGGGTTGGTTAAAAGAAAGTCCAGTTGCTCCCGGGGTCGGATGAAATCGCCTCTGCCCTTGTCCCTGGTTCTGTGGCGTTGTGGTCGGAGGATAAGCTGCTCTCTGCCTGCACTTTGGAAGTTGGGATTTTCTTTGAGGCTGAAGTAGGTCCATTTTGGCGCGTGTTTGATCGGCGCTGGATGGGAAATGCAGGCTGTCTGCAGGGCGCGGAGTCTGCTGCGCCCCGGCCCGCCGGCCTTGCTAACCGCCTTCCCTCCGCTGTCCTGGGCTGCGCTGAAAACCGCGTCACCCGGGCCTCTCTGTGTTAATTGCCGTGTCCCCTCCCTGCTTCCCGAGAGGGACGCCAGAACCCTCGCCCGAAGGTGCTTCCTTATTCTCTCACAGTCGTGGAAAACCACAGGCGGGTTCTGAGTCTTGAATGAGTCTGGGTTCTGGGTGGAAGCGCCGTCTCCCGACGGAGCAGACGCAGTGCGTGTGTAGATGGCGCTTTGTGCACACTTCCTTCCTTCCTTCCTTCATTTTGTTCAATCAAGGGACCTGTGTTCGTCCGACCGAAGCCCTTGCTCGTCAACGATGGAGACGGAGCAGGAAAAGGCAACCCGGAGGAAGGGGCTGAGCGCAGACACCACCTTGTACCGCTGCACCGCGTGCCATGGGGACGAGGACTGGGTGCTCGGCGCCCCCATCCGGGGTCGGGCCAAGGCCCGCAGCCTGTCCGCCTCACCCGCCCTGGCGAGCACCAAGGAGTTCAGGTACGGAGGGCTCTCAGCGTGTCGGTGCAGGGCGACATTGCCACCTGCCAGGGCAGCGGGCCGGCTTCCAGCCTAGTGTGGCCACAGGGCTGTTGTATAAGCGGCCTGACCAGCTCGCATCCCTTGCACAAGACGCTTGAGCAACCACGGGGTGCGCTGCCGGCTCTGGCCTTGGAGTCAGTAAACATGGGGCGTCTCAGCAGAAGCTGCCAGGATGAGCGTTGCCACTGAAACAAGGATCACATCTGAAAGGCAAGGGGACGTCGGGGGTAGAAGCGCAGTGGTGTCAGGTGAGGTGGAAAAGCCCACGGGCCCTTCCCGGTAGGTGGCAGCTGGGGACGAGGTGCTGGCGCCGTTTTCTGTGTAGAAGGTCCTAGGCCATGTGTAGGGGAGAGGTGGCTGTAGCCTGCAGGCTGGCAGCAACTTCTCCCAACTGTGACAGCATCCTGAGTGTCAGTCGCCCCTCCGCCTCTGGGCCACATGCCGCAGTGTTGGATCCCAGCAGCACCGCCCCATGCGTGTGGTTTTGTAGAGTTTGCATAACTTTTCTCTCTCAGAGGACACTGAACCTGGCATGGTGGCAGCAAGTCAAAGGTGCCTCTGCCTGTAGGTGTTGGGACGGGAGACGCGGGCAGGCCCAGTCACAGCTGGCTCTCGAGCAGAATTCTCTCGAAACACTGACTTAGATGAACCCTGTAGATGCAGATCTGAGAACTTTCCGTCGGGGCGGCCTGGGGGTGGCCTTGGGTGTGGCCCTGGGCAGTGACATTCAGCCTGTAGCCAGCCTCCAGGACTCTCAGGCTGGCCGCCTCCACCGGGCCTCAAAGTTAGTCTGCGTTGAGATCTGGGTTCGTTGAACCCCGAAATACGGGATTGGAGACAAAAGCAAGTCTGCCAGCCCCGCTTGGGTGGCTGTGGCAGTGTTTCTGGTGTGCAGGGGCCCGGTGAGCCATTGGAGGCTGGTGTTCTTTGGAGGTGAACACACCCTCTGCCCTGTCACTTAGGGGTGTCCTCATTGTTCTTTTGGCCCCTCACCAGGGTGGGTGCTGGATTCCCAAGGACAGGAGAGGGCGGGCAGCCGAGTAGCGTCCCCAAGATCTGACTGTGGCCTTGTCAGTCGCTTTTCAGTTACTAGAAAGCTGGGCCCTCGGGTGGCATCTCCCTTGTTGGCAGCACAACTCAGAGTGAGCGTGTCTGTCAGCTTCCCCCCGAGTTCCCTGGGGATGGCGTCTGAGGTCCTGGTTCCCAAGTGTAGACCTACGACTGGTCCTCAGACAGGCCTGCTGAGAGCCCATGCATGAATTCAGGTGCCAGGCCTGTCCCCAGATGGCGTGGTCCTGCCTTCGGGGCGGCGTCCTTGTTCTCAGGAGCATTTCTGGATGTGTCCCGTGTACCTCTAGGTTCTGTGGCTACCTGGACGGTCTGTGGCATGCACATCAGCTCTGCAGAGAGGGGCGGAATCTTCCGGGTCCACCCTGGGTGCTGGACAGGGACGTGGCTAATGTCATCTGGGCAGAGCCGCCTCTGAGACGTGGCACAGTCTGCGCCCTGTCGCGTGTCCTAGCCAGGGCTCACACTGCCTTTTTCCCACAGGAGGACCCGCTCCCTGCACGGGCCGTGCCCAGTGACCACGTTCGGACCGAAGGCCTGCGTGCTGCAGAACCCCCAGACCATCATGTGAGTGTGCAGGGCCAGCCCCCGGGCCCCGTGCTGCGCAAGGCTCTGGCACATGGGTGCCAGGTCCCTTGCATGCCAGGCCTCTGGGGCCCCAGACTGTGGGTGGGGCGCGTCTGCTGACACAGAGGTGTTTCTTTGTTTTTCGTATAAAAACTCCAGCAGGAAAAATGAGATATTTTCTACTAACGTGTTTAATGGGTCAAATGTTTCTCCTTTAATTATTTTTAAAATGCAAGATAGTAATTGGCTTTTTTGAGAACCTGAGTTCCCCTGTTTGAGGGAGACGCCGCTTTGCAGGTGCTGCTGTCAGAACGTCTGCACTCGGTGGCCGCTGAGGGCAGCGGGCCTGGGTGGGATGCCGTTTAAACACCAGGCAGTTAGGGCGATTTCGCTGGCCCTGCTGCCTCCCGCCTCGCCCGCCTCGCCCGCCTGGCGGTTCCAGAGGGGCGAACCCTAGCGGAGCTCCGTGCGGGCCTCTGGCTGTCACTGTCTCAGCAGAACACTAAGGTGACTTGCCCGACGTCGCGCTTTGTGTGAAGGAGAGTCAGGATTCCAGCTCAGCTCCGGCAGCCATGACCAGTGCCTTGTGGCGGGCTCGCTGCCCCACCCGGCTTCCTGCAGAGCCCCAGTAGCGTCCCCTCCTCCTGGGGGAGCCGCGGGGGTTCACCGTCTGCAGGTGATAAGGGCGCCGGCTCTTGTGCTGCTGTGACTAATGCTGCTGAGGGTCCCTCCGCCTTCCTGCAGCCGTCACCCCAGTGTCACAGCCAGGCCACAGGTCACGATCCCTCTGAACAGGGCCACAGCCAGCTCTAGGAACTGTGATGGTGCCTGTGCTGCCACCTCCAGGCCACCTGGGGAACTGCCTTTCCTGGTCTTGGCAGAGCTGTTCTGTCCTTGTCACTCACATCGTTTTAAGTGCCACCTTGGACGGCCTGTCACAATCCCATCTTAGTGGCCATCGCCTACTCCCAGCCGAGCCGTCTGTGTGTTTTGGCTTCGTGAGCCTCGAGTGGGGGTTCAGTTTGCATCTGAGCTGCTCCCCGAGGCCAGGCAGGGCTGTTTGGAGAGGGGTGCTCCAAAAGTGTCCCCAGGACTGCAAACGGGGGTCGAGGATGAGCCACTTGCTCTATCCCTCCTAGGCCCTGCGCCCAGCACTGTCAGCTGGGGGGACGGGACCCCATTTCTCCTCCTTGAACGCCTCCAGCACTGCAGCTGGGTGGGGCAGGGCTTCACGGGCACGGACCCAGCTTTTCCCCTGACGTTCAAAGTGAGATTCGGGAGAGAGATCGGTCAGAGCCTTGCACTTCCTGTCTGAACTTCCACCGCGCGTGCCGGCGTACGTTCTTGTACGTCTAAACGCGGAACTGCCAGCACCCGATCGCTCTTGGCTTACAAGTGTCTGGGGTAGGTCAGCTGCCAGGCTTCTCGGTATCCCCACTCTCCCATCTGGTACCCATCGCTTGTGTGCCAGGGAAGGGTTCGTGTTTCACTTTGCAGGTGACCCAGCAGGAAGTCGAGTGACCCCTTGGCGCCAGGCCCCTGCAGGGCGAGACTGAGCCTGCCTAGGTCAGCGGGGAGGGGGCCTGGACCGCCCGTCAGACTCCCACTGGCTCGGGCAGAGGGCTGCGAGCCGCCACACCCACTCCAGGGCCTGGGGCGGTGCAGAGGGCGATGAGCCTGCCTCTCCCCCCTGCCCAGGCCTGAGCTCCTCCCCCGCTGCCAGTCCCAGCGGCCGCTCAGGTAGACATGCCGCTGTGGCCAGAGGGGGGCAAGAGGTCTGGCCTCTGCTATTGAAGGTGACCCTGGGGACTGTTTTAAGTGGGAGATCAGGGAAGAGGGCCGTGTACGTGAAGACTGGCTGTGGTTTGCGCCGCGGTCTTTGCGTGCGACACTCCTGTGACTTAGTTGTCTTGTGTAGCCCTTAACACTTCAGGGTGGTGTTGCGCTTCCAGTTCTGAGGACACGGAAGTTGGGGCGATGGTGCCGGCGCACCACTGGGGGGGCGGGCAGTGTGCATTACACGCCTGTCCTTAGCAAAGCGTGATGGGAAGGCCGTGCACAAGCCAGTTGTCTGCTACTCGTGACCGCATGTGGGACCCGGGCAGGCGGTGCGGCTCGTGGAGATGTTACGAGTGACCCCCTCCTCTCGCAGAGATAGATGCCCACAAAGGGTGAGTGTTGGCCAGTCCGTGACGGGCTGAGGCCGGACATGCCACCACTGGTACTAGTGGTTCAAGTCACAGCTTTGGAAGTTGCCAGGGGGCCATCGAGTCGTCAGGAAGCTGTGGCCCATGGGCAGGTTCGCAGCCTCCATGGAGGGTCCTTGGCTGCATGTCCTGCGTGGTTTCCAAGCGGGCGAGGTGTGTGCTGACCACGGCGGCCAGCTCATCCACACGCCGACCTCCGACCTTGCTCTCCACGCGAGTCCCAGCTTGCTCCAGTCCAGGCTAGGACGTTCCCACCGTGCACAGTAATCGCAGGCATAGCTGGGGGCCCTGCCCGGGGGGTTCCTCCCCTCAGCGTGGACCATGCACCACCACGCGTGTGGCCTCCGCACGCCGGCCCGCACAGCGCCGGTCCGCGTCAGAGCGCCTCCGGGACTTGGGGGCTGCCTTTCTCAGGCAGGACCCACACTGGCTTTTTAAAAAATTTCACAGGACAATGTTAGGGTCTCAGCAAAATAGAGGCAGACACAGAGATTTCCCATGTGTCCCCCGCCCCACACACAGCCTCCCCACGGTCAGCACCCACAGCTGACACCTCATCACTCGGGGACCCCTTTACGTTAGGACCCTCAGCACTGTGCGCTCTGTGGTCGCATAGACCCATAGTAACACGTATCCACCGTGACAATCACACAAGCCATTTCACTGCCCCCAAATCCTACCACTGACTTTTAACTGGTTTTTAACTAAAACTTGAGGTCGGCCGAGTTGTTCCTTCAGTGGTGCCGACATGGGGGTGCCAGAAGCTCGTGCCGGGGTCTCCAGGGGCAGGGTCCATAGTCGGCTGGATTCAGTGTTTTTGGGAAGCCGGGCGTCCCACCGGCAGCAAGGAGGGCACCAGGCGCAGGGCGGCCGGCTCGGGCTGATCCTGGAGCAGGTCTGTGAGTGGCGCTGGCAGCGAGGGTCGTGAGGAGCTGAAGGAACAAGCACGCGTGCTCGGGGGCCACCAGGTGCCTGCGGGGCGGGGCTCGGCCAGGCACAGTGAGCGGGGGCCTGTCTGCCACCAGAGCCACACTTCCAGGGACACGGCGCCGGTCCTGGAGTGAACGCCCCTCTCCCCTCCAAGGCACATCCAGGACCCTGCCAGCCAGCGTTTGACGTGGAACAAGTCCCCGAAGAGCGTGCTCGTCATCAAGAAGATCCAGGACACCAGCCTGCTGCAGCCGTTCAAGGAGCTCTGTGTGTACCTGATGCAGGTGAGCGGGGGTGGGGCTGGGCAGCCCAGGACCCTCTGCCATCCTCTGCCAGGGGGGTGCAGGAGAGAGAGGGCACAGGGCTGGCCTCCTGCCCGGGTTTCCATGTGTCCAGCTCCAGGACCAGTGACGTCAGCAGACTCCCTTCAGGACAGCGGCCTTCATCATGTCCGGGCAGCGGTCTTCTGTGACGGCAGTGTGCAGCCAAGACACAAACCCGTTCCCCATCGCGAGACGCCCGACAGCGGCGTGGGGCTGATGTGCCGGTCTGCCTTCTAGGAGAACAACATGATCGTCTACGTGGAGAAGAAGGTTCTAGAAGACCCTGCCATCGTGGGCGATGACAGCTTCGGGCCAGTGAAGAAGAAGTTCTGCACCTTCAGAGAAGGTGAGCTGCCCTGGGAGTCTGTGCCGGGCGCGGGCGCGGGCGGCCGTGACACTGTCCCTGTCGTTCCGCAGACTACGATGACATTTCCAACCAGATCGATTTCATCATCTGCCTGGGTGGGGACGGCACCCTGCTCTACGCCTCCTCGCTCTTCCAGGTGAGGCCCCCGCGGCCCCCGCGGCCCCGGCGGCGCGCCTCCTGCCGCAGCGGTCGGCGCTCCCGCCTGGCGCACACGTTCGGTCGTTTGGCGGTAGGTCAGGCTCACGGATAGGCCGCGTGCTGTGCCTGCTCCGGCGCGTCAGACTGGGACGGGCCGACGCGGCTGCCCCGTGAGTGGGGCAGGGGCCAGGCAGACGGAGCCCGTGAGGAGCGCCGGCACCGCGTGTGCCGAGCCTCCAGGGCCTTGGGGGTGGGGGCGACGCCAGGAGGTGCGAGGGGGCGAGGGTCTGCACGGAGCCCGGTGCGGTCATCCCGAGCCCAGCCCGCCGTCCTGGATGGACCCAGCTGGGGCCTTTCGCAGGTTGGGCATGGAGGCCGTTGGAGAGGGCCTGGAAGCGGGCAGGGCGGCCACTGGGACACGGTCGGGTGCCGCAGGCAGTGTGGACGCGGGAAGCCCGAATACTGTGCGTTCGGCGCTGGGGGTGACCCAACCCCTGCCGCGCTCACTTCCCCCAGTGGCCCCCGTCCTCACCGGCAGGGGCTGCAGACCCACCCCTGAGGGGACCAAGAGTCCACTCTCCCCCCACCGCCGTTCCTGTCAGGGTCATCTGGCCTCCCCAGACCCGGCCGGGTGCCGGCCGCCGGCGCTCGCGGCCACCGCTCCTTCTTGTCCCCTGGCCAGTCGCCCGATCGGTCTCGTTGTCTTTGTCTCTCCTCCGGGCCTCCGTGGCATCCCACCGACCCTGTGTGTGGTCACCGCATGTCACCCAGCCCTGCCCCCACTGGGACACCTCGCCCCCCCACCCGCTTAGCGTCAGCCCCTTCCACAGATGGTCGGGGCAAGGCCCGGTTGGTGCTGGGGGTGACTTGGGTGACTTGCGTGGACTGGCCAGCTGAGTGACCACCTTGCCGGTTCACAGGGCAGCGTGCCTCCGGTCATGGCGTTCCACCTGGGCTCCCTGGGCTTCCTGACCCCCTTCAGCTTCGAGAACTTTCAGGCCCAAGTCACTCAGGTGATACAGGGTGAGTCGCGGCCCTGGGCAGGGCCTGCCATCCCGTGTGGGTCGGAGTGTCTCACCGAGTCTAGAGTGACACCTGCGTGTTCTTCGGTTCGAGAATTTCTATGATTTGGGCGGTCCAGACACCCTGCCTCTGTGGGTGGCGCGGGTGGGTCCTGGGCAGGAGTGGCTGCGCTCCCTGAGTACCCTGGTTGACCTTCCAGCAGACACGAGGGTGATGCCCTCATTCTGGCAGAAGAAAAGGGGGTGCCTCGTTGGGAGGTTTTCTGTTTCTTGTGGGGTGTCACCCCATCCCTGCTGACCTCCCCTGGTATGACCCGTCCGGGCCCCCAGGGAACGCAGCTATTGTTCTTCGGAGCCGGCTGAAGGTCAAGGTTGTGAAGGAGCTCAGAGGGAAGAAGCTGGCTGTCCCCAACGGGACCAGCAAGAACGGGGCGCTGGCTACAGACCTGGACTCTGAAGTCGGAAAGCAGGTCATGCAGTACCAGGTCTGTGGACAGGTCCCTCAGTGGGTCCCCAAGCCCTGCCCTCCCTGTCTTCTGGCCTAGAGGAGGGGCACAGGGTGGGAGGGCTCTGGGTGGACCCCAGCGGGGAGGCCCCCATCCTCAGGGCCTTCCAGTGAGCCCAGGAGCAGCCCAGCCGCCGGCAGGGCAGACACAGCCCCTCAGTGCGTGGTGGCCTCGCTGCCCTCAGGTCTTGAACGAGGTGGTGATTGACAGAGGCCCCTCCTCCTACCTGTCCAACGTGGACGTTTACCTGGATGGGCACCTCATCACCACAGTGCAGGGAGACGGTAGGTGGGTGTTGGGTGCGTTCCGGGCGCCCTGGGAACCTCACGCGGAGCACGGAGAGCGAACCTGTGGCCTGTCCCCAGGCGTGATTGTGTCCACCCCGACGGGCAGCACAGCATACGCGGCTGCAGCCGGGGCCTCCATGATCCACCCGAACGTGCCGGCCATCATGATCACGCCCATCTGCCCCCACTCGCTGTCTTTCCGGCCCATCGTAGTCCCTGCAGGGGTCGAGCTGAAGGTCAGAGCCCACCCCTCCCCCTTCTCCAGCATGAGCTGACAGCCTCGAGCCCGCAGTACTGACCACCTGTTCTGGCCCAAGGCGACCTTGTCCCCAGGCCATGGCCCACCTTGCTGAGTGCTGGGAAGGACCTCCTAGTCCTCACCCCTGCTAGGCTCATGCTGCCGAGGGTCTGCTGGGGAGGGGGCCAGCCTCTCAGGCAGGGTGAGCGGCCCTCATGGGGTGGGGCCTGTCCACATCGGGGCCCCAGGTGGGGGTGACCCAGCCATGAGCCCTGGCAGTTGGGTCTGTGTCTCTTTGAACTCTGAGTTGGAGCCTGTGTTTCTAGCTGCGGGCAGGTGGTTGGTGACTCTGAGCCTGGGTGGACTTTGTCCTTTGCTCCCCAGGGCTGAATGTTAGCGAGACACAAGTTAACGCCTTCAAGGCCTAGAACTGGCCTTGGCACGTGGTGGGTGCTGTGAACGCCCGCACAGTCCCTCCCGGACGGTGCCGCTCCAGGCAGGGGTCTGAGGTGCTCAGCTGCACACACTCGAGTCCACAACTGTCCCGCTTGACACTTTCAGATCATGTTGTCACCAGAAGCAAGAAACACCGCCTGGGTGTCTTTTGACGGACGAAAGAGACAGGAGATCCGCCACGGAGACAGGTAGGTGGGCGGCAGGGCTGGAGCACGCGTAAGGACTTAGGTGTAGGCCCCGCAGGCAAAATGTATCACTGAGAGCCTGGAGGGTTCCTTGTCTCACGTGTCACATCGGGGAACCCATGCCTGTCAGGTTGCCACACGTGGCCCCACGTTCCGCGGTACCTGTAGTCACCGACTCGGGCCGTGCTGGCTGTACCTGTCGGCTCTGTCCCCTCACCCTCCTTGCCATCCCCTCTGGGGTCCTCTCCATGGAGTAGGGTGGGCTAAGGGGGCCCATGGCTCTGTCTCGGGACTTACACAGTACCACTGGGGCCAGGCCACTCAGCAAGTGACACAGGCAGGGCCAAGGTGGCCGGCGGCCCGGGCACCGCTCGTCCGTCGGGAGCCGTTGGCTCACCTGGGCCGTGTTGCCTCCCGCCAGCATCAGCATCACCACTTCGTGCTACCCGCTCCCCTCCATCTGCGTCCGAGATCCTGTGAGCGACTGGTTTGAGAGCCTGGCCCAGTGTCTGCACTGGAACGTGCGGAAGAGGCAGGCCCACTTCACGGAGGGCGAGGACGGCGAGGATGTGGGCGACGGTGACGGCGAGGGCTAGCCCCGCGCTCCTGCCACGCCCTCGGGGTCCCAGAGCCCCGAGGCCTTCATGCCCCCTTCCCTCTCTGCCTCCCCCTGCTCGCCCCGTGGGGCAGGCCGACCTGCACACGGGCCGTGGACGGTCACACACGTGCAGGCCTCAGGTGTCACGGCGCTCCTGTCTGCAGCCCGAGGAGGAGCCTGGAATCTGCCTTTTGTTGACCAGATCCGCCATTTTTTAACATTTTAAATCTGACTTATTTTTGCATTTCTAACTAAGCCGAGGGAGCCGTGGGATGGCCGGAGCTCTGAGGCCAGCACCGCACGCCCATCTGTCAGAGCCTGTCCCCGGGGCAGGGGCCAGGGAACGTCCGTAAATCAGCTGATCGAATTCAGAGGGAATCGGAATGGATGACGTTTTTCTTAGGTGTTGAAAATAAATGTCTTACAGCCCAAAACCATTCTTCAGCCGCCGCGGTTCTCCCCTTAGGCCTGCACCTTTTCTTAGCACCCCTGTGGCAGGGCTGGGCCCGTGCGTCCCCTCAGGGGCTGCACTGAGGCTGCCCAGGCCCTCCTGCCTTGGTCCCCTGGCCCTTGTCAACTACCCCTGCTCTCGTGCGGCAGGTGCCGCTGGGTGCCACAGGTGGCCCATGAGCCCGCACATTCCTTACAATTCAGGGTCGGCACCCCCGTGCCCTGGAAGGTGTTTTAAATCCTGTGTACACTTTTTATAGATTCTTCTAAACTCTCTGAAATGCTCACGTGCAGATTCTGTCGTGCACTGAAGATTTCAGAGGGCTCGCCCTGTCGTGAACGGAGCCCCATTCTGTGTTTGCGTGTTCTGTGTGACGGTGCTGGGACCACCTGTCCAGTCCAGCACGGCCGCTGCAGGTGGGGGAGATGGCTGGCTCAGCAAGCCGTGGTCCTTCGCAGCTGGAGCAAGAACGCTGGGACAAAGGGGTCCACGCAGTGAGCACGGTGACCTTCCGTGTCGGTTCTGCGTGCTTCTCCCTGGGGGCCCAGGGTATAAGGAGACCGCGTCGTCCGGCACGCGCTCTTCCCTCGGTCGGCCGGGTGGGACACGCGTGTGCGTGGGGCCTGTGGTCAGAGATGAGACTCGGACTGCACGTGGCCTTGGCTGCTCGCGTGGCAGGTGTCCTAAACATGGGCCTGTTTTTGAGGGATTTGTCTTTGAGCTGCATTTCCATTTGCTAAATCGGTGAGAAGGGAAGGGCTGGGCGCCTGCCCCAGGCCCCACCTCTGGAGCGATGGGCAGGGCTGTGCCTCGTCCGCGTGGAGGGTCCAGGGCCACACGCATGGCCACCCACAGCGGGTCTACAGAGCTGGCTCTGCAGCCTGAGCAACTCCGCCGTCGGCGCATGTCGGTCAAGTGCTGTGCCCCCATCCTGTCCCTCTGGGTACCTCAGCAGCTGGACCCTTGTGCGCTCAGCGTTCGGCCCAGGGTTGGGCCAGGGCGGGCTCTCACCGGGCTTCCGGTCCGGAGGACAGTGGCACTCGGAACCCAGGTTACTTGCTCAGACGAGAGAGCAAGTGCTAGTCCTAGAGCAGCATGACGTTGGGGTAATCTAGAAGGCTTTGGGTTTTTTTGAAGTAAATTCTTAATGTTTAATATTGTCAATATCCTGAAAATTTGTTAAATGTCGAAAGCCTTATTACTATTTTCAGATCCTTTCAATAAACAGACTTGTTTAAAAGTTGGGTTTAGTGACTTCATTTGGCTCTTTGCAGTCACCTCAGGGACACTGAGGGAGGTGGGCTGGGGCCTCTGGAGTCCATGGACACCGAGAACGCGCCCTTGGCACATGTGGGAGAGATGGGGTCTTGTTTGGGCAGCCCCCACGTTGAATCCTGGCCCAGGTGCTCCACCAGGCCCGGGCTAGGCAGGTGTCCCCGGGCGGGGCTGTGGGCATGGCCTCCTGCAGAGAGGGCAGAGGGGAGGCAAAGCCTGCAGGACGCTGCCCTGAGGGACCGGAGGGGGCCTCCAGGAGGGGCTCCTGAGTTCTGCAGCCCCCAGGGCCCCAGAGGCTGCGAGGTCCCTACCCACGGCTCCAGCCAGGCCTGTGGGGGTGGGCACGGAACTCCTGTCTCCCTCCTCCCTGTCCTTTTCCTGTTCCTGTGGCCTCGTGTGGACCAGGCCTTGGCGTGGGACAAGGCTTTGCCAGGAGCCAAGTGGGCACCGCAGACATGGACACAGCTGGGCAGACCAGAGCCAGGAGAAGCCAGTGACTGGCCGCGTGCAGTCTGTCTGCCCGGCCCCCCGGAGCGCCTTCCTGCTGCACAGGTGCATCGCTGCTACCAGGTGTCTGCTGCCCCGCCCCTGGGCAGGGGCTCAGCTGGCCTGGTCCGCAGGGAACAGGTACATCTGGGTCAGCCTGTCCGCATGTGAAACAGGCCGCACTTAGGGCTCCGGCGCTCAGACCTCAGGCCGGGACTGGACCTCTCTGCTGGCAGAGCGCCCCCGCTCAAGGAGCAGGGGCCCAACCCAGGGGCTAGAGTCTGGGCCCGAGGGGCTGTCTCTGGTGGGCATGGGCACTGCTCACAGGATCGCTCTTTGGCAAAGCCTGCTGACCTCAGGCCTTGACCGTCTGGCCTTGGGGAGCACAGCGAAGGGGTTGAGGCACAGAAACGGACAAGCAGCCCCAGCCAGTGGTGCGCCCTGCCCTGGCCGGCCTGCGGACGCCTCTGGTTGAGGAAGGACTGCCTGACCTTGGCCACGTGAGCAGTGAGGTCAATACAGCCCCTCGGTCACCAGGACTGCTCCCCGGATGCTGGCCTGATGCAGTGAGACAGCTCAGACCCCTTTGGTTTTGCTACCTTGACCTTCGGCCCTGCTCCAGGAAGGGCAGCCTGCAGGGCACACCCCCCAGCTGTGGCGGAGCCCCAGGGAGACCAGAGGCTGAACCTGGGATGGGGGCTGTGGGTGCCTCCGCCAGGGTCAGGCTAGGTGGGGTCAGCCGGGGCCAGGCTGCCAGGCGTGGGAGTGGGGAGTGCGCACCCCTGGTTGCCCACGGGCTATTCTTCCCAGCAGCTGCCCTGGAGGTCGGTATGCCCTGCTGTCCCGCACAGTGAGGAGGTCCCCCTGTGCTGAGTGTGGGACAGCGTCAGTAGCCTACACTTGGCTGCTGTGGCACTGCCCGTTGTGACCTTGGGCTGCAGACTTCCGCAGCCTGTTTCCCTGCCTGCTGATCGGGACAAGTCACAGGCACTGCAACTGCCCCCTACCTCTGGGTGAGTCTGGCTGAGGGGCCTGCAGGTGCAACCCTCCACTGGACAAGTTCTGGCTCTTGGGACAGTTGGCTTAGGCAGTAGCTGGTGTGACTGGCATCAGTCTGCCTTCTCTTCCAAAAGCCCAGACATTGATAGAGTGGGCATCATCTAGGGACCCAGGGCAGTGTCCAGAAGGGCTCCTTAGCCACCCCAGGACTTGGGGGTCCCCAGCCACCACTCGATGTCCTAGATTGGACCCCAGCCCTGGGAAGGAAGCTCAGAAAAGCCCTGTGTCATTCTGGAACCGGGCAGCCTCGGCTCTCCACAGCCCAGCAGCCCAGGGAGGGCCAAGGGGGACGGCTCAGGTCCCTCTTGTGACCGAAGGGAACCAAGGTCAGCTGGACATGTCCACTCTTGCTCCTCCCTCAGGACCAGGTGGTGAGCGGCCCTGGTATCAGGGGCCAGGCCCAGGCCAGCACCAAGCCCGGATGGGGCCGGGGCCAGGCCCAGGCAGATCCCACCCGACCTCACCCAGTGGTGAGCCTGGCTAGCACCCAGGCCTGCTGCGTGCCCTGCTCGGGGCACTGCCCCTGGCCAGTTTTGAAGGTCCACCGCTCAGGACTGTGCTTAGGTCTACGAAATCCCTTCCCAGTGGGCTGCCCAACGGGGCAAGGCTCGCGGGAACAGAGCAGGAGCTCCTGATCCGTGGGCACCTGCCGTCCCTTCCGTCTGTCACAGCCTAGTTAGCCACAGTTAGGGGAAGCAAGCGAAGGCACCCGTGAGCCCCCGAGATGAGCAGGCCTGACAAACGGTGACTGTTTAAGACTGAAGACACCGAGACAACGCACGGAGATCTAAATGTGGGCCTGGCAGGGGTCTCCCCGGGCCCCCGAGGGGCCGCAGTCAGGAGGCAGACACCAGGTGCCAGGAAGTGACATGGTGCTGGCCAGTGCTCCCCGGCTGTGCTGGCGGGGTCCAGTGGCGCAGGGCAGAGCCCTGCACCCGCTTTCCACCTGCTGGATCAGGACCCAGACCCCGTGCTCTGGGTTGGTTTTTTTTTTTTTTTTTTGACTCCTGGGTCCCTGTCTGCTCTTCCCCGCTGCCCTCGCTGTACCCTGGGCGGCAGGTGTCCGTCTCACCCAGCTGAAGCCACCACTGTCAGGCCAGGGCCCAGGCCCAGACCGAGGGGAGGGCGAGGGGCAGGGGTCAGGAGGCAGACAGCAGAGCCCAGGTGAAGCCGACCCGTGAAGGTGGCAGGGAAGAACCCACTGTGGACGCTCACCTTCTTGCCTTCTGGAAAATCACCACTGAATGTCGTCCGAGGCCGAGCCGGGGAGCCTTCGGGGAGGGCGCCCGGCCCCCAGTTAGGCCCTCGCGGTCGGCAGATACCAGTCGGCCAGCCGGGGCCGTGCACCCCGGAGCTGCGCGGGCCGTTCGGTGCCTCCTTCACTGGCCGGCCAGGTGTGCTCATCAGCAGAAGCTTGACCGGGCACACTTGAAGCTGACGGTCCAAGTTCTTTCACCCCAAATTCCACTTCTGGGAATCCAGTCAAAACTCCAGTAAAATGCGGCTAAAAAAGCACAGATCCATTGTAGTGGCTTCTCTCATGGCTGAAAATCGGCCACGGCCCAATAGTGAGGCCACTCGCTCCCTTCACAGGTCGCAAACAATGTTCCTACAAATACGGCG